TGGAACTTTTCTCACCAGGTGGTGTGCAGAATTTGCTCTTCGCATTTTGCGAGTGTTTCTTGCATACTGATTTTGGTCAACATGATATTTGTTTAGGTGTAACTTTCCATCGTTGCTTACTACTTTTCTCCAGCATGCAATTACTAGTCAACTGCTCATGTAGTCGACGAAGCAAACACAGCCAAAATATCCATCGCATATCATTTTCCCTGGTTGAAGTGCCCAGCATGGGCTTTTTGGATAAATACAATTGAGGTCTAACACTCGTCTTCGATTGTTGCCTTAAGTCGGTAATTTGCCGTTCACGCCGTTTGATGCTTTGCAACATTTTGAGAAACGGAGAGTTATGCGAGGTTGCGCAGGTGTGTAGTTACTGTATTCATTGACTACTGTAATGCATTCAACCTAAAAACATAGTGCGTTCTCTGGACAACGGTTAAAACTCTAAAGGCTGCTGCCAGTTGTGAATGAGCCCAAAGAAAGTGCTATATCTAACTTTGTTGTCTTCGCTGTCATTGTTTGACATTCCACCCACTTCAAATGTTTTCGACAAAGCACCCATGGAAAATTGTTTGCTCCTAATAGGCTAACTCACACATTTAGCTGGAATTATGATCTCTTTGCTGCCACTATCGCCGGTTTGGGTAGAGAATAATTCCACTAGCCTTGCAGTTGCGGCCTTACCTAATGAATCAGCTTCCACCTCTACTGGAGACCTTGTTCTCGAGACAATGCCAAGTGAGCGAATTCGGCCCTCATTTTCATTGATTTGTACTACCTAAATTTGAACGATATAAGTTGCATAACTAAAAAGACTTTGCTCCTTTGGTGCTGTTTCGTTTGGCTTAAGATCGCTTTACAGGCATGCTTCAGACGAAGTGGGTTGTTGAGTTTTTATTCATTGCAAACATTCTGTTGTTATTTAAACAGGACTGACACGACAATTAGTCAGGGGATCGCAAAAATCTACTTCATACATCCTCATGGTAACTTGTCTCATCATCGTCGAGGGGGTAGTTCACCGTCATTTTCATGCACGTAGGTTGCGTGAAAAATCACAGCATATCAAGCCAGAGAGGAGTGGAGTGCAAACATGCGATGCGTCAAGGGAGAAGGTTATCGCTTGATGGAATACAGGTAGAACGACTCCCGATGCAATGCACGTGGGTGATGTACCAGAAACGAATGGTGAAGCGAGCATTTCAGTTGTGATTCAAAAGGAGTCCAGCAAGCACTCTCAATGCCGGTACATGCATTGGCTTTGATCTAGCGGATGGTAATGATGATGTCATGTGCAGTGCTAATCCCATCAAGTCCTTAGGCTAGTGCCTCTCGACACACGCATCCGTTTTTAGAACAGTAGAATCTCCGCAATTTAATCATTACTTCACATTTACTGTTGTTAAGTTGCGTGACAATAAAGACGATACGAGCGTGACGAGGATCCACTGTCACCGTATAATGAAGCGGCTTCCATTTCATTGTCCACTTAACAACTGAATTATTTATATAAATAAATAAAATAATAAGCGAACAGACGAATATCCATCTTCCTTGCCATAAATGAACAATGTCTCTTGTGACATTGCTTTCATTGCCACCATTGCAAACACTCCTTTCATCCTTTCAAGTTAGCGGTGGTGGCGAAGTCGGATTTTCTCATACCTTCGTAAGTTGCGCATGTCTTCCCCCATTTCCGCATTCATACCCCATTTCACCTTCATCCATCATTGCTTTTTCCTAATATTTCCTTTTCTTTTCTTTGAGTCAAAATTACTCCCATAAAAAGAGGAGATTTCCGTCGCCTTTGTTGCTTTTCCCGTTATTTCCCTCTTCATTAACATGATTTAATAATGAATCCTTTGAATCAAACAGTTGATTTTACTCTATATCTGGACGGGTTTATATAGAATTTCGCTTGGTAAGCATTATCATCTGGGATGGAAGGAGGGGATGACGGCAGCACATGGATTCCATTTGTCTCGTTGCCTGCTATTTTAGAGATCATCATGGACGTTGAACGTAGGTGCCCTAAATAGTCAGCCATATTTTGATGTACAACTGAACATATCCCATGTCTCGCTGCCGTCGATGTAGCGTAAAATGATAGTTTTTTTGGAAGCGGGTGAATCAGCAGTTGTTGCAACACAACAACACAATTAAGCTATAAATGGGTGATCGGGGAGGCAGTCATTTAGTGCTTCAATATGGATTATCAACAGAGATAATCCAATTCCCTAAGCACTTTTCGATTTTAAAATTTTGGGTTAATATTTGTTTGAAGCCAGCATGCAATTACTAGTCAACTGCTCATGTAGTCGACGAAGCAAACACAGCCAAAATATCCATCGCATATCATTTTCCCTGGTTGAAGTGCCCAGCATGGGCTTTTTTGGATAAATACAATTGAGGTCTAACACTCGTCTTCGATTGTTGCCTTAAGTCGGTAATTTGCCGTTCACGCCGTTTGATGCTTTGCAACATTTTGAGAAACGGAGAGTTATGCGAGGTTGCGCAGGTGTGTAGTTACTGTATTCATTGACTACTGTAATGCATTCAACCTAAAAACATAGTGCGTTCTCTGGACAACGGTTAAAACTCTAAAGGCTGCTGCCAGTTGTGAATGAGCCCAAAGAAAGTGCTATATCTAACTTTGTTGTCTTCGCTGTCATTGTTTGACATTCCACCCACTTCAAATGTTTTCGACAAAGCACCCATGGAAAATTGTTTGCTCCTAATAGGCTAACTCACACATTTAGCTGGAATTATGATCTCTTTGCTGCCACTATCGCCGGTTTGGGTAGAGAATAATTCCACTAGCCTTGCAGTTGCGGCCTTACCTAATGAATCAGCTTCCACCTCTACTGGAGACCTTGTTCTCGAGACAATGCCAAGTGAGCGAATTCGGCCCTCATTTTCATTGATTTGTACTACCTAAATTTGAACGATATAAGTTGCATAACTAAAAAGACTTTGCTCCTTTGGTGCTGTTTCGTTTGGCTTAAGATCGCTTTACAGGCATGCTTCAGACGAAGTGGGTTGTTGAGTTTTTATTCATTGCAAACATTCTGTTGTTATTTAAACAGGACTGACACGACAATTAGTCAGGGGATCGCAAAAATCTACTTCATACATCCTCATGGTAACTTGTCTCATCATCGTCGAGGGGGTAGTTCACCGTCATTTTCATGCACGTAGGTTGCGTGAAAAATCACAGCATATCAAGCCAGAGAGGAGTGGAGTGCAAACATGCGATGCGTCAAGGGAGAAGGTTATCGCTTGATGGAATACAGGTAGAACGACTCCCGATGCAATGCACGTGGGTGATGTACCAGAAACGAATGGTGAAGCGAGCATTTCAGTTGTGATTCAAAAGGAGTCCAGCAAGCACTCTCAATGCCGGTACATGCATTGGCTTTGATCTAGCGGATGGTAATGATGATGTCATGTGCAGTGCTAATCCCATCAAGTCCTTAGGCTAGTGCCTCTCGACACACGCATCCGTTTTTAGAACAGTAGAATCTCCGCAATTTAATCATTACTTCACATTTACTGTTGTTAAGTTGCGTGACAATAAAGACGATACGAGCGTGACGAGGATCCACTGTCACCGTATAATGAAGCGGCTTCCATTTCATTGTCCACTTAACAACTGAATTATTTATATAAATAAATAAAATAATAAGCGAACAGACGAATATCCATCTTCCTTGCCATAAATGAACAATGTCTCTTGTGACATTGCTTTCATTGCCACCATTGCAAACACTCCTTTCATCCTTTCAAGTTAGCGGTGGTGGCGAAGTCGGATTTTCTCATACCTTCGTAAGTTGCGCATGTCTTCCCCCATTTCCGCATTCATACCCCATTTCACCTTCATCCATCATTGCTTTTTCCTAATATTTCCTTTTCTTTTCTTTGAGTCAAAATTACTCCCATAAAAAGAGGAGATTTCCGTCGCCTTTGTTGCTTTTCCCGTTATTTCCCTCTTCATTAACATGATTTAATAATGAATCCTTTGAATCAAACAGTTGATTTTACTCTATATCTGGACGGGTTTATATAGAATTTCGCTTGGTAAGCATTATCATCTGGGATGGAAGGAGGGGATGACGGCAGCACATGGATTCCATTTGTCTCGTTGCCTGCTATTTTAGAGATCATCATGGACGTTGAACGTAGGTGCCCTAAATAGTCAGCCATATTTTGATGTACAACTGAACATATCCCATGTCTCGCTGCCGTCGATGTAGCGTAAAATGATAGTTTTTTTGGAAGCGGGTGAATCAGCAGTTGTTGCAACACAACAACACAATTAAGCTATAAATGGGTGATCGGGGAGGCAGTCATTTAGTGCTTCAATATGGATTATCAACAGAGATAATCCAATTCCCTAAGCACTTTTCGATTTTAAAATTTTGGGTTAATATTTGTTTGAAGC